AAAAACAATATTTTCATCTTTGTGTGTTTGCGTTGATACAGCCATCAGCCAATAACAGTTGCCGTAACATGTGTTGTTTCGATTAAGCCTGGACTGGACATCCATCAAATGTGGCATTTACTGTGTTTGTGTTCAGGGATGCTCTCCAGTTTCAAAGATTGATGGCTGGTGACAAATTAATTGTGTGCGTTTTCTTTTGCGTATTCGCTGTTCACTTAGTAGTTTATCATTATTGTGGTGAATGGTGCTCTGGCATTACCTTACCAAATGAAAAATTTAGTTGCATTTGGCAAGTTTTAATTTCGGGGCCTTCCTGTATGTGTGCTTCTCTCTCCTTGAAACCTCACTCGGCTTTAGCAGAAGGCCGCTCACACTGGGCCTGGTTCTACTGGATATTTCTTCCTGTTAAAAGTGAGTTTTTCTCTCGACAGTCGCTGCACACATGCTCTATGGGAGGGATTGCTAGAGTCAACGGCAAATGCAAGTGAATATCACTGCCACAAGCTCATCAAGGGGGAGCAGGTTCTGCAAGTCAATAAGTTGATGCAATCCGCTGGATTTCCTTAGATAGAAAACTTTGAATCAATCTGACTGTATGATCTGGTTAAATGGTGCTTTGAGATGGCATGGGTTATGAATTGGCACAATATTAATAAACTGAATTGAATTAATCAAAAAAAGCACACAGTACTCAGAGCAGTGGCGCAAGGGTAAAATGCACAACTCATGTATGGAGGTCTTTGTCATCAACACAGTGGTCACGGGTCTGAGCCCGTTGACCTGTGCCACATGTCTTCCCCCCGACCTCTTAACCCTATTTCCTGTCAGCATGCATTCAAATAAAGGCTAGAGAAAAACAGGACTAGCTGCACAGTAGACATGATTGTGAAGCCCGGTCCTTTCAATAGATTTTCAAGGCATGACTGCAGAGTTTTAAAAGCTACTCAACACAGGTTTATCCTGAACATCAGCTATTACAACTATTGCTTTCTTTGTTATTGGCCACTCCTCAACTAGAGACAAGGTCAGACTGTTAACTGGTCCAAATCAAGGTACATTTTGTATTTCATTTCACAGCTGTCATCACTGCCCAAAAGCACCAGTTCTAATCAACATGGTCTCACTGAGCTTTATTGGCCAGTAAAGTGGCCTACATTAAATCCAACAGAAAAGCTATGGATAATAAAGAGGAAGATGTGATAAAAAAAAAAAGAACTCAATGAGCTGAAAGCTGCTACTGAAGCAGACTGGGCCCCTTTAGCACCAGAGCCGAGGTTCAGGTTGATATCATCCATGCCACTCCATATTGACACAGTATTTCATGCAAAAGGAGGACAGACAAAGAACTGGATGCATACCTCATAACTGCATGGACATACTTTTTAGCACATCCCAGTGTATCGTATATCTCAAGATAATGTTTTGTTAGTTTGATATGATTTGCCTGACAAACAAAATGTATGTTTTTGCTGCAAAATCATAACCTAATATATAATCTAATATAAATAAAACACCTTAACTACTCTGTCCATAGGCAAGTTTCACTTGTTTTAAATGTATCATTGGCGTGGGTTTGCATAGGGACCATAAGGACTTGTCCCTACCAGTAATTGTATGTGAATAACATGTTTGTAATTTACAATACGGTGTTGTTGCAGCCCTCGCTTCTTTTCTCACAACTTGTATATTGAAGTCAATATTTTAAATGCTCAGTTTCAGTTGCTTTTATGGTTCCTGCGCCCATGTAAATACAATAAATCTATTTGCATTCCCTTGAATATGTTATTTTTCTTGTTTTACAATACAGAGAATATCAGCATATCAGATAAAAATAATAAGAGTGGGTTTTACCTCTGCACAATTCTATTTCTTCAAAAGAAAACACCAGATAAATACACATACAACAGACATATTTAGACTACATTTGGATAAAAAGGCATATATTTACCTTCTGTCTTAGTCAAGTTCAAATGTAACTCTTTTCAAAGTGTTATGTTGTCCCTATTTTACATTATTCTGAGCCACTGATGCTTCAAACATTGATCAACAGCAAATTGTGTGTGTGTAGTGCTAATCAAATTTGTATATGTATTGTATATTTGTATATGATGCTCACATCAAGCATAAATAAAAATTGGAGCGTGCATAAGGAGTAGGACCAATGACATCAGACCAATTAAACTTAAGAGCAATAGTGCGCAAACCAAAGTTGAGATCAAACCTACGCGCTTGAAATGTATTAATGTGATAAATTACCTTCTTATGATCTTTTAATTCACTAAGATGTGCTTGTGTAGTTTTGTTAAATATTCACTGCTTATTTTTACTACTATTTCCATCCCATAATTTCCTTATCCTTTCTTGGAGTCTAGCTTCCTGCATTCCCTTTTTTCTAATTCTAGCAGAAATTAATTGATTAGTTATTTTATGAAACTAGATGGACAAGGTATGATTATATATATATATATATATATATATATATATATATATATATATATATATATATATAAAGGACCATAAGGCATGACAGTTCCCCTCACCTACACTGCTGAGGAACATAGTGAAGTATAAAACTCGGATTGACCTCCACCGGCTTCTGTAGTCGTCATCCTGGGAGTCATCACTGCTCACAGACAATAACAAAGATTTATGATGAAGGATGAATTAAAACAGCCAAAACAAACACATTTAAATCTTCACTAAATATGCTTCACAACTTCCTGTAAAAGTTGACCGTTTGAACTCTGTAACTCACCTGCTGGCATCGTCCCGCAGCAGCGGAGTGGTTTCGTCTGGGTCAAGATGCGACATTTTAAATAATTGAGTGATGCGGAGAAAGTTATAATGATGTCTTAAGTCTCCATATAGACGCGGATCAGTGACCTATCCTGCCCACAGTGGACTCCTGCTCTTCCGTGAAGCTCCTGGAAGCTAGCTACACTTTGAATATAGCCTTAGCCCCTCAAAATATCACCTAAACATTAATTATCTTAACAAATATTAAACATGCAGTTAAAAGGAGGCATTTATAACTGATGTTACAGTCAATACGTAACATAAAACCTGACAGAACTGGACTATGACACCAGGGCAGCTTAATTATTATTGGCGCAGGAAGTAAGTAGCAACATCCGGTTAGGTCTTTCAAAATAAAGCGTACACAAATTAGGTTTTGCTTCTTTTTGAAATTAGCTCTTAAAAATAGATAAAGTTTACGTTTTAATAAGAACAATGGAGCAATACTGGATGATCGTATTGTTTTTCTGTTTTAATTTTAACATCTGTTTGTTTTATTTTGAAAAGAACGCTAACTGAGACCTGTATCAGTTACGCCTAAATCCGTTCAACTTGATGCATCGCTCTCACGTGAGAACATGACCAAACAAACATGAAAAAATCTCTGAACTGGTTTTGTGGTTGGATCAAAAGTGAAGTCCTGCAGAGAAAAAATGGCCTTGAAGAAGCTCAGCAGAGTTGTAAATAAATGCATTTATGTAGTGGTTCGACATATTGTATGAGAGATTTTTAGGCAGTCTGGAGTTTTAAATAATATATTTTTTAAATACGTTACAGTAATAACAATATTAGAACAATATTGAGGAGTATAAAAAAATTGCAGTTCCTCTTTTGATTCTGAATACCAAAATTATTAAAAGTGTAACATACAGCGTCTAAAAAATGAAAAGGGTAAAAAAAATATGTCTAAATAAGAAGTGTTTTAGTTCAGTTTGATAGCTTATTTATTACGTGTTCAGTTCACATCAAGTCCCCATTCCTGTCACGTCTTTCTTTTCCATTGTCTCGCACTAAACACAGTAACATTAACTAGATTACATTTCCTCTGTGGTTAGAATAAAAGCTTATCTGTAAGACAAACATGTATTTCAAAATAAATCATGTATTTACAGATCTTCTTAATTAAACTTTTTTTTCAGGCAAATTAACATAAAACTTGTCAGTACACTAAAATGTTTTTATTTCCATTTCACTGAGTTGCCTGATCCTGACCCTTTCTACCTCTGGACCTCAGAGCCTAAATGTTCCCGTTCTGATCTGTTTGCCTAAACTGTTTTCAGTCTGCTGCTGGATTTCTGCCTGTCTGTATACTGAAACCTAACATTTCTTCCTGTCACCATCCTGGATTTCCCTTCAGTACCACTTTGGACCTTGGATCTTCTGGCTCTGACTACCGAGCATGTCTTCAGCACTGGCTTTGGCTTTGCCCTCTGCTTTCCTTCATCTGCTCTGCTCTGATCTGATCTCCTGCTTTTTCCCACCTTTGGGACATCAACTTCTGGGACTCTCTGGGTGGCCCCAACTGCTTCTTGTTGGCAGCCGACCCACTAGATCCAACCTCGTCCATCCGGCACGGACTGAACTATAAGACCAGAAGTTCCTGCCTTAGACAGCGACGCTATTCTCTGCGGTTCCATTATTAATAAACGTTCGGTTAAATCTGTCTTTCGTCCTCGAATACTGGGTCCTTTTTTTTCTGAGCCTGACAAAATCTGCAACATTGGAATTTCCAAGTATGTGTTCTAAACAAATAATTGACTTATAATCAGATTTATTAGAACACATTTTATTCTATACTATTAATTTATAATGTCTTCATAAGGAATTTCTTTCAGTGTTGTAGTGTTATCACCGTCCACTAGTGGGTACCACTCTAGGGGGGAATCGCACTGGTATTTGCAAGAGAAGTAATGCCAGAGCATAGGCATCAATGTTATTTTTAGATTAAGTCTTAGTTTTAGTGTTAAGGACTAAAACTATTATTAGTTTTAGTGACATTTTAGTTGTTACGATATGTGATAGTTCGGTTTTAGTCGACTAAAACTGTTTGGAATAACAACCAGATTCTTTACCACACTGACAGCTCTAGCCTAGATCCTGCAACAGCTGGGTATAGAATGCTGCCGTGCAGTTCATCATTGCTGTTGGCAGAAAACTTTGATTTGTGGAATTCAAATAAACCTTTTTATGAATTAATGCCCTACTTTATGAAAAAGTGTGTCACAATAGCTGTGAAAATGGCAAATCTAGCTCAACACATAATATTGGTTAATATTGATGACAGACAAACAAAATGTACAATGAAGAAATTGTTTTAGACATATAAGGTTTCCATTCAAAAGCAAACACTTCCTGATCTACTATGAATTATGCATTACACAGAGATAAATAAAATTGTCATTGCTCCATAAAAAGCAAAGAACAAAAACATTCTTCTGTGTACTCTGGCAGTTTTGGCTTTATTTCATCAATTTGCCCCTTTGTTACTGCTGCTCAGGGGTCAAAATAGATTTAAATTCACAGGGTTTTGAAATAAAAAAAAAATTATACGGAGAGAACCTACATAATTGCTTTGTAATGCCATGATATTCCAAACCTAAATTGAATGAATATGCTAGAAACGAGAAATAGAAATAGATAGAAACGAGAACCATGTACCTTTTCATTTGGCTCTTATAAATAAATAAAGAGTATCCAATGAAATATTTTCTTTGAATATAACTTAGGGATTCATTTTGGTAGAAATTAAAGAATGTTTAGAATCACCTCCTGTGAGCTGGAAGGCATAAAATCTTGATAGTTAGACAAAGGGATTTTTTTACGCTCGGCAGAGGATGAACAGCAACATATAGTTTATTAAGTAGCAAGAGCAGGAAGAGTCATACTGCTGAGAGTGAACCATCAGTGCAGACTGAGCTAAGCCATGCAAAGACGCATTTCTGCACAAGCACAGCCGGGAGAGCAGCGTTTGTCAGAGTTGAGCATGCAGTACCGAACAATTCCTTGTTATTTTCTCTCCTACCGCTGTTGCCATGGTCTGTCTGTGGTCATGCAGAATGGGCAGCACTGCCAGGTGGGCGGCATGACCAAACAAGACAAAAACTGACACCCATGAGTCGTCAACTTTTCGTCAAAGATCCATGTTCAGCTCGTCAGTTCTTGTTATCGTTAAGTATATAGAATTGCACATGTGTTAATTCATAGTTTTGATGCCTTCACTGTGAATGTATAGTCATGAAAATAAAGAAAACTCTTTGAATGAGAATATATATATATATGTCTGTCTGTCTGTCTGTCTGTCTATCTATTCTCCCTTTCTCCATTTAGGCTAACATTTGATCGTTCACGCTCTCTGTAGTTCTCCTGTGCGCGAGCACAGGGCTGCTGTTACGCGCCTATAGCGAGCATGCGCGTTTCCTGTCGCTTGTGGCGCCTGTGCCTGCGCTGTGCGGAAAAGAAGGGAAAACCCTGTCATTAAAATAGAAAGTGAAAGTATTCTGAACGGACAGTGTTGCGCCTGTTTCTTTCCTTCGTTATAATTTGGCCTCGTTGTGAAGCTGATTTAAGATCAGACTGATCTGAATAAGATAAAATCAGATCAAACCTCGCGTCGTCAGGAAGAATCCAACACCGGGTGTTTTTTTTTAAATTTGTGTGACCTTTGATTTATACAGACACAATGAGTCGGCTGGGATCTGCAGCTCTAGGTAAATATCACCCAGATTTTGTCTTATAGCTGTTTTTTTTCACCATGTTACGATTTATAGACCATGCTTGTCTTCCTATGATTGCTACTATTGTTTATAATATTGTTTCTTTTATTTTACTTCTTACAGATAAATCGATGTTTCTCTTTTGTTTTGTGGCGCTGCTCACTCCATCAGGCTATTCTGCCCCTGGTAAGTACCGCCAATTAAACTGTCTCATTAGTCAGTTATTCTGCAGAAGTTTAAACCCTAAGGGTCAATTTTTTGTTAATATTTCTAGTTTATATGTTTATCTGACATAATTCTTCTGATTAATAAGTATTTCACTCAGTAGATCGTTCAGATTGTGCAGTTTCCACTCATTTATTGGAGGTTTGACCAAGTAATTGTATGTGTGTGTATATATATATATATATATATATATATATATATATATATATATATATA